TTTGGGGGATGATCGCACGAGGTACTTCCCACAAGAAGAATACCATCAAGAATCATATTCAAGAAGACAAAGGCTCTGAAGAATCTTGAGCTGCCTGTCACCCGCAATGGAAGAAACGAGTGCTACAGAAGCCCAGGCCTTCGACAGCAAGCTTCGCAAGCTGCGCAGAAAGGCGGGCGGCGAGCCAGCGATCACGGAGGAGCTGCGCAATCGGAATTCAGGGCCTCGGTAAATTGTCTAGTGTATGTCGGAGCTTATGTCGGGGGCAGTTACCTGGGAGGCGTGGTCATGGCTTTGGCTCATGCCGGGATTGTACGCAAGCAGCATGATGCAAGTTGCGATGTCGAAAATGCTGCCAGTGCAAGTTCAAGGTCTACTTTTGGGTCGCCTTAAATCCCACCACCCTACGACCCAAGCCCCAACCCCCGAAATCCCTGAACCCTGACAGTTTAACACGCTAACCGCCTAACCTCTGAACACCGAAGCCCAAACCCCCCAGACCTTTACCCTAAACCCTAAAGCCTAAAGCCTAAACCCTAATCCCTAAACCCTAAACCCTAAACCCTAAACCCCAACCCCCCAAAACCCCAAAGGCCCCCTCAACGCCGCCGAACGGAAGGAGCCGGAGCCCACCCCCTCGGCACCCTCTGCGCCATCGCACCAGGAGCGTAGAGACGAAGGCCACCCCAGCGCGCTCCCTTACCCTTGTGTCCCAATGAACCAGAATTTTGGTTTAGGGTTTAGGGTTGAGGGTTTAGGGTTGAGGGTTGAGGGGTTAGGGTTTAGGGTTTAGGGTTTAGGGTTTAGGGTGTGGGGGTGCCATAAACTCAGACCCTTACCCGTCAACTTCAGGAGGCTTTGGGGGGGGGGGTTCGAGCTTACAAAACATCGCAGGGGCTTGGGTTTGAACTCCTGAACCTGAATCCCTGAACCCCTGAACCCTAAACCCAGGCGATGCCTACGGCAAGTATGGAGTGACCAAGTCCGGTCTGAAAGAGGCCCATTGGCTTTTGCATGCTTTCAGGGCTTTCTTAGCCCTGAACCCTGAACCAGAATCCCAGAAGAGTCAGCTTTGGGGTAGGGCTTAGGGTCTCGGGTTCAGAGTTAGGGTTTGGGTGCTTTGGGTGCTTTGGGGCTTTGGGGCTTTGGGGCTTGGGGTCTTGTCAGGGTCCTGGGCACCCAGACCTTACTAGTTTATCCCCAAATCTGTATGCCCTCTACCAACCCCAAGCCCGAAACAACAAACGCGGCCCAAACCCCAAACCCCAACACCCAGCACCCGAAGACGTATCCTGAAGACAACTCCCAACACACCAAGCTGCCTTTAAAATTTCACACCCTAAGCCCTAAACCCTAAACCCTAAACCCCAAACCCCAACCGCAAACCCTAAACCCTAGCCGAGGCAGAGAGGGACCTGGACAACTCCCTGAGAGGGAGAGGCCCTGCTCAGGCTGGCCCCTAAAGGGTTTAGGGTTTAGGGTTTAGCGGTTTGCCTGGAGAAGATACATTTAGTTTCTTTTGTTTTGGGGGGGGGGGGGGTGCCCTATTTTTCAGTGACAGGAGACTCTCAGGAACGCAGGGTGCCCAGGCTTCCAGGTGCAAGGACTTAGGACTTTTTCCCGCAGCTTCCTTGTTGAACTCCCCAAAGCGCCCTTGTCTTGCAGGTTGCTATGATGCAGCCCCTACTAGATTCTTAGTGCGCCTAAGCATTATGTTTATCCACAGATGAAAGTTGAACACGCTTTAGCAAACCCTAAACCCCAAACCCCAAACCCCAAACCCCAAACCCCAAACCCCAAACCCCAAACCCCAAACCCTAAACCCTAAACCCTAAACCCTAAACCCTAAACCCTAAACCCTCCAAGTTCGGTTCTCTGAAGCCCTGAAGCGCTCTGCAGGGCCGCAGCTACTGGGGCAAGGAGGGCCTGGGCAGCGGGCCTCACATCAACTTGCTTCTTCGGCAGAGTTTGGGGGAGCTTAGGAGGCATGTCGGCTTTGAATTCGGAAGCTTTGGTGGTGAAGAGGCAGGATGATGGGTTTCCCTACTACCCCCCTCGAAACTACCCCCCTTCCCCTGAAATACCAATTTTCCCTAAATCGCCTTAATTCCAGAGGGAACCTAGGGGGGGTTGTATAGAGGGGGCAGTAGGGGAACCCCATGGATAGGAGCTTCCCAAAACATTCAACCCTAAACCCTAAACCCTAAACTCTAAACCCTAAACTCTAAACCCTAAACCCTAAACCCTAAAGCCTAAACCCTAAACCCTGCGTGCTTGCCAATCCCAGGTTCGAGGAAGCAGAGCTGGAGGTGAAGCGGCAAGACGCCGCGTGCCCCCAGCAGCACCGACCAGGGCTTAGGGTTTTAGGTTTTAGGGTTTAGGGTTTAGGGTTTCAGGGTTTCAGGGTTTCAGGGTTTCAGATTTAAGGGTTTTTGGGCTTTAGGGGTTTAGGGTTTTTGGGTTGCAGGGTTTTCGGGTTTTTGGGTTGAGGGGCCTAAGGGTTAGGGTTCAAGGGCTTGAAGGCCAGTGGTGCGCTTTACCCTTTCGTCGGGCTCTGCGGTCCACCCTAAACCCTAAAGCATAAACCCTAAACCCTGAACCCTAAACCTAATAGGGGTGGGCACCAAATGGATGGTTCCCATGGTTCAAGGTTCAGGGTTGAGGGTTTGGGGTTACCTTTAAGAAGCCAAAACCTGCAGTTTTCTCGTGTGTAGGGTTAAATAGGGTTGGGGTTGCTAGGATTAACGAACCTAGAACAGGCTGATGCTTTCTTTGATTCTAAACTTGCGCGCCACAGGCACACCAAGCTACTGCGCTACCAGGAGACGAACAACAACCTGGCAGACGCCTGGGCTGCACCCAAAGTACGGAGTAGGGGGTTTAGGGGTTTAGGGTTGTAGGGTTGAGGGGTCTCAGGGTTACGGGTTTAGGGTTGTACGGTTTAGGGTTGTACGGTTTAGGGTTGTAGGGTTTGGGGTTGTGGGGTTAGGGTTGTAGGGTTTAAGGGTTGTAGGGTTTAGGGGGGGGGGTTTGGGGTTTTGAAGGTTTTTGGGTTTTTTCGGTTGAGAAGAGCAGCCTGCTCCCCCACCCCCACGGGTCGATCCTCTGAACCCTGAGCCCTAAACCCTAAACCCTAAACCCTAAACCTAAACCCTAAACCCTGAACCCTAAACCCTAAAACACAAAACCCTAAACCCGAACTAAGCCTGGTGGACTTTGAAACCCAAGCCCTGCACGCTGAAGCCCTGAACCCTCGACTCTTAAACTCCAAACCCCTCTAATTCCTAAAGCCCCTAGATCCTTTGAAGCCCTAAACCCTAAACCCTAAACCCTAACCCTAAACCCTAAACCCCCTAAGACCCGAAGGAAAAGGGCAAGAAGCGGCCGCTGTCCGAGTTCGACGAGATGGCCCAGGAAACGCCCTGGTACCTCCAGGCTCGCGCCGCCTTTCACAGGTACCTAAGCTACGAATTCCTCAAGAACCCCCAAAAAACACAAAAACATCTTCCTTCTTAAGGGTAGTATAGGGATTATTATTTTGTCTTTTGGGATTCTGAAGCAAATAGTAGTAAGTGGTGGCCAATATGATCCCCTTCTTCTGATAAGGTCCTACGGTATTGTAAGCTGCTCAAAGAATTGTGACTGAAACAATGTGCCATACATAAGGTATCTTAGTGATTTTGTAAGTGAATGGGCGGGGTTCAGGGTTTCTAGGGTTCACGGTTTTTGTGGGCTTTTTGGGGTCGAAGGCTTGCAGGGTTCAGGGTCACTGCGCGGCGGTCGATTTTCAAAGCTCGCTAGTTTAGGGCCCCGGCTTCGTTTAGGGGCTTGAGTTCGACCCCTAAGCCCTCAACCCTAAAGCCTTCTAAGCCAGAAGCTGGCTCAGCACCAAAAACGGATGTTTAAGCTTCACTGACAACTTCAGCCTCAACCCGACTAAGAGCCCAAATGACCTGCTGCCTTTGGTAGGTGATTGTTCTGCAAAACCCCTTATCGTCTTGAGTACCATGCAGCAAGTTAGGTGGGCGGGCCCCTCCCCCCGGCCTGGCGAGGTCCAGAAGCGGCCAGCCACAGACGAGGCGTTGATATTTTTGAACCCAAGCGAAGTGCTGCATGGGAAAGGGGGTGGTATGAAATGCCTTGACAGCGCAGGTAGTAGCCAACTGCGGAGATGTTCATGATGTTCATGCTGATTGTTTTTGCTGATTTTGTTTGAAGCACAGGGTGGCTTTTGCTGGTTTAGGGTTCAGGGCTTGTGGTTTGGGGTGTGAATTTCGAGATCGGGAATTTAGGATTTGGGGGCTTCTGGCTTTTAGTCATGTAGGGCTTGAGGTTTATTTTGGGTCTGTGGTCTTCGGTGCACGGATCCGAGCCAGGACTGTGAGGATGCGAAGCTGCGGAGGAAGTGGAGCAGGAGCCGCTGGGGTTTAGGCAGAGAACCCTGAGCCCAAATCCCAAACCCCCGACCTTGTGGAGTTCTTTTCGGAGTTTTGACAACAAGCACCTTCTTCGTCCCCCCCCTTAATCTCAACCAAAGAGAGTCAGAGAGTGGCCACCGAAAAGTTAGGTTGGTTTAGGGTCTAGGGTCTAGGGTTTAGGGTTAAGGGTTTAGGGCTTAGGGGCCCCCAGGAGGAGGAGCTTTAGCCACCCTCTCATGAATACGGTTCTTCTCTCTTAAGCCAGACACCGCCACACCCGTCTCCACAACCTGACTGTGGTCTTTTGAAGTTTGCGTCATTGGTGACATGAATGCCTTGCTCTGTGTCGCCTTGGCCGAGAAAAACTCCCAGGTTCAGGGCTGGAGGGCATCTCTTCTATGAGAGTCTCGCTGTTTTGAGGCACACGTCTGCTGATCTTCTCCGCGTGTTGGGAAGGCGACATGTTGAAAGGGGCTCACGGGCTTGCTCCGGCTTGCTTTTTTGCAAGTGCGCACGCGCGAGGCTCAGAGAGCGACTTCCAGGAGAGTCCAGCCCCACCACAAGGGGGTTTTTGTTGTGTTCATGCCGCCGCTCCACAAGCTGACCGCGGTCCCGGCCGGCTGGCCCCTGGAGACCGTCCTCGACGCCTTCGTGCACTTGACGAAGTACAACCCTGCTGTTGCCGCTGCGCAGCGCGCCCAAGAGGCGGTGGCGGCGCGGCTGGTGGAGCTCTGGGCCGCGAACCCGGCGGAGGCGGCGGCCTGGCGCGGTCTGAACGAGGACCGCTCCCGGGAGCGGCTCGCCGAGCTGCTCTTCCAGCACGGGCGGAGCGAGTGGAGCCGGTGCAAAGTCACCTCCATCTCGGAGGCGGGGCTGGAGCGAGTGGCTTTGAGTCGGACGTATGAGCCGAGGTGGTTGGAGGCTCATCTCCGCCCTCACTGCTCGGAGCTCGCTGGGCGGCTGGCAGCGGCCGAGGCGGAGGCCGAGGAGACGGCGCGGAAGCGGCAGAAAGTGGAGGCGAAGGGCCAGGAGGAGCAGCTGCGGGAGGAGAAGAGGCAGCTCGCCCAACGCCTGGAAGCCGCCCAGGCGGAGCTCCATTCCGCGAAGGAGGAGGTCGCCCAGGTCAATTTGCAGAACGCACAGCTCGGTGCCAGCTTGGAGGCGGCGCAGGCTGCAGCTGCAGAGAAGCAGCGGGAGCTCCAAGCCGCGAGGCAGCAGCGTGATCAGCTCACGGAGCGCCTGGTGGCAGCAGATGCGTCATTGACGACAAAAGCACGTGAGCTCCAGGTAGCGCAAGGCGAGGGCGCCGCGCAGAAGGAACGGTGCGAGCAGCTTGAGCGTCGCTTGGCGGCATCGGAGGCCGAGGCATCAGCAACGCAGACCGATCTCCAAAGGTTGCAGGACGAGTGTGGCCAGCACAAGGAACATTGCGAGCAGCTTGCAAGCCGCTTGGCTGCGGCGGAGGCTGCTTCCGGAAGCAAGGCTGATTGGCAGGTCCTGCTGGAGAATGCAGCTCTCAAGGAACGTGGTCAGCTGCTTGGGCAGCAGGTGGCGAAGGCGGAGGCCAAGCTGGAGCAGATGCTGGTAGAGAAGGGCGTGTGCCAGGAGCGGTGCCGTCAGCTGGAGCGCCAGCTTGCCGAGGTGACCAAGCAAGCAAAGTGCATCGGAAGTGGGCGCAGAGCTCGTGCCACCCACGTCTGCCGCGACCCTGAAGAAGCCTCCAGCAGCCATGAGTCAAACCTTAGTGATCAGCTGGGCTACACCCTTGTCGATGATGCCGATGCCTCCTCGGTTCTGAGCCACTCGTCCTGGTTCTCCGTGAAACCTCACTGCTTCATGCCAGATGCCATTTTCAAGACCCGCAACTGCGGGATCGACTTCTTCCTGATGGGCCGGGACCTTATGCAAGGCTCGCGGGTGGTGGCCGGAGATGACGCGACCATTGTGAAGGTGGCCACGAAGCCCGAACTCTGCCGAGCCAACGAGGTCGTCGACTTGCAAGCCGGAGCTGCCATGCTACGGGTGACCCCGGACCACCTCGTGCAGGTCCCGGATGCAACGGGCGAGTTCGTGAAGGATCTTTATCTTCCAGCTGGAGAGTTGAAAGCGGGCGACCGGGTGATGCTCGACTCCGGGGAGCCCATGACCCTCACCAGCGTTGCCATTCGTTCCCTAGAGTGCGAGGTCCTGAAGATCACCTTCGAGCCACACCTGCCCGTGGCCGTCTTCTCCTGCCCCCCTTGCATCCTCAGCTTGGGGCACAAACCGAAGCCACCGATTCGCCGTGGCTGGGAGAAGAAGCGAGGCCAAGGTCAAGGCCAGGGGGTGGACGAGAGCATGGACGGCGGAGCCTCCATCCCCATGACGGCCGGCGGCGAATACACGGACTAGGATCTTCGTGAAGTCGCCAAGGGCGAGCCAGCATGCGCCGAGGCCAATTCGTGCACTTCCGGCGGGCGTGGTCAACCAGGTCAGCGCACGGCTGCAGAGCCGGTGCCTTACCTGCTTTACCTTCCTGCCGGAGTCGCTCTCGCGCAGCGCACGCGGCCCTAGCTTTACATGCCAAACACGACACGTGTGAAGGAGGTGCGCAGTAGAGGAGTCTTGATCTTTTCAGCGATGTTTGGCTGGGGCACGTGGTGCCTGCAGGAGAGCTGTTTTGATTCCATCTTGCGGCGGCGCGGCTCACAGTTTTGTACCTGCGCAGAAGATCGCAGGTTATGCCTACTGGTGCTGATCTGGACTGCGCGTGTGCTCGTGTGGAAACCTTGTGCGCCAGTAGCAGATTCCAGCACTCCGTAAACTTTAGACCCTAAACCCTATAGGCACCCTACAAACCCCTAACCGCCCGGCTCGCAGGAAGAATGACCAGCTCATGCTCGAGGTGCTCCCGAACAGGACCACGCAGGCCAGGGCCCAAAACTCCGGGACTGGGGGAAGGGGCAAGTCAGTCCAAGATGCACCCTGTTAAATTCCAGGCTTCTCTTTCTTGTGCCTGCATGTTTATCAGGTTGGGGTTACAGTAGGGCTTCGGGTTTCAAATGCCACCTGTAAGATGTGCAAGAGAACCTCATGAAACTATCCTTTCGCGCATTTTTTTGGGGCTCTTTTGTTGCAGGCAGCTTAACCCCTAAACCCCGAAACCCCTAAACCCCTGAACCCCGAAACACCTGAACCCCTAAACCCCTGAACCCCTGAACCCCTAAACCCCTAAACCCTAAACCCTAAAATAAACACTAACCCTAAACCCTAAGCCCTAAACCCCAAACCCCCTCCACCAGGCATCCAAGGGCTCCGGCACGGTGCCGGCATTGCGGGAGGGGCTCCCTGGCCCGTCTAGGGTTTTAGGGTCTTAGGCTTTTAGGGTTTTAGGGTCGAGGGTTTAGCGTTTACGGTTTTAGGGTGTTAGGGTTTTAGGATTCAGGTTCAGGCAGAAGGTGCGGTTGTTTCCATTTCCTTGCACGGAGGTTGACGTTTTGAAGGATTTCTTCTAAGGGTTTTGGGGAGAGTGCGTGTTTTCGTCACATTAACAGTTTCCCGAAGCCAACGGGCTGTAGGCTTCGGGGGGCTTAGTTAGGGCGCTTGGGGGCTTACCGGTCTTAGGGATCTAAGGGCCCAGGAGGCTTAGGGGGCTTAGGGGGCCGAGGGGGCTTCAGGGTTTAGGGTGAGGGATGGAGGGTTCCAGGCGTGTAGGGTGAACTGTCGAAGCTCTCCCTGTGCACCCAAAGGCCCAGCGCAGTGAGTCCTCGGATCTCTCTTTTTACAAGCCTGTGAGACTTCGGGTTTAGGATTTAGGGCGTAATTAGGGTTTAGCTTGAGGGGTTGCGGTACGACCACGGCCAGCTCATCCATGCTCCGAGCCTAAGGCCTGAAGAGGACAGTCCTCACGACCCCCTGCCTTTGCTGGATGAGGCGCCGGGGGTGCCGCCGTCCCCAGCCCAGCCCTGAAATCCTGAAGCCCAAACCCAGCAACCCTAAAATCCAAGCGCCAAAGCCCCCACCCCTCCTGCGAAAGACCCTGCATCCCTCAGCCCCCAAAACCCTAAGCCCTCAGCCCTTGAACCTTGAACCCTAAACCCTAAACCCTAAACCCTAAACCCTAAACCCTGAACCCTAAACCCTAAACCCTAAACCCAAAACCCTAAACCCTAAACCCTAAACCCGAAACCCTAAACCCCAAACCCTAAACCCTAAACCCTGAACCCTAAACCCTAAACCCTCAACCCTAAACCCTAAACCCTCGAACCCTAAAGCCCCCCCAAAACCGGGAGCCCCAAACTCCGATCTCTGGCCCGAAGCTGACTGTCAAGTGCAAGGTTTTGGGTTTGTTACAGAGTTTTTGGGGTTTTAGGGTTTTGGGGTTTTGGGGTTCAGAGTTTGGGTTTAGCTCGGGTTTTGTGTCTTGAGGTTTCGGTTTAGGGCCTTGACCCTAAACCCTCAACCCTAAACCCTAAACCTTAAACCCTAAACCCTAAACCCCAGTTATGGCTTCAGGGTTTTGGGGGTTTCGGGGTTTGGGCGTTTAGCGGCGTGAGCTCCCTGCAGGCAGCCTGCCGAAAGAAGGCCAGCGGGTGGGGGAGAAGAGGGGCGGACCCGCACAGGGGAGGGGTTGCGGAGTTGGGGGGAGTTGAGGTTTCTCAACCGTATCTAGAACATAGCTGTTATGTCGTGGTTGATTTGGAACAAGAAAAGGGGCCAAAAGAGCAAGTCGTTTTGAAAGCAGAAGGTTCCAAGCACACTTCAGTATCCACCCAGAGATTGATACCCCTTATAGGGCTTAGGCTTCGGGCTCATGGCAAAAAGTACCCGCGCCTTTTGCCAACCGGGGAGAGAGCCTTCAACCCAAACTCCGGTACAGCCTAAACCCCAAGCCCTACACTGGGAAGCCCTAAAGCCCAAGACCCCAACGACCCAAAGCTCTATACGTAGGACGCCCGGTCGTGCCCTTATCTCCTAAACCCTAAACCCCAAACCCTAAACCTTAAACCCTAAACCTTAAGCACTAAACCCTAAACCCCCAACCCTACTTCATCCAAACAGGGAGGGAAGAAAGAGGCCAAAGACAAGACCCAAAGGCGGCGACTTGCCTGCAGTGGGTGAGGGTGAGGATCTGGGACTTGGGGCTTGGGGCGTTCAGTTGAGATTAGGGTTTAGGGTTTAGGGTTTAGGTTTACGGGTTAGGGGTTTGGGGTTTGGGGTTTAGGGTTTAGGGTTTAGGGTGTAAGATTTCGGGTTTAGGATTCGCTTAGGCGCTGGCATGTAGGGTTCAGGGTTAGGGGTTCCGCGCTTAGGGTTTGGCATTTAGTGTTTAGGGTCTAAGGCTGAGGGTTGAGGACTTGGTGTTGGTGTTGGTCACCGCCTAGGATTTATGCTTCAGGGTCTAGAGGTCTAGGGTTTGGGGGAGAGGTTGTTAGGAAGACCTCGCAACCCCCAATCCCTAAACCCTAAACCCCCATACACGAAACCCTATACACCAGACCCTCAACCCCAAGAATTCTTTTGAGTTCTACGAGCTGAGGGTTTTGGATTTGGGGGTTGGGGTTTCAGTGCGTAACCTTTAATTCCAAGAAAACCCTGTACCCTAAACCTAAACCCTAAACCCTAAACCCTGGAATCTACAGGGGTTTAGGGTGTTTAGAGTGTAGGGTAGCAGGACTCAGGCATTAGGAGGCTCTGCAATTAACGTGAGAGGCTCCATGGTTTTGGGAGGGTTTAGGGTTGAGTGTATAGGGTTTATGGTTTCGGGTTAAGGGTTAAGGGTTGACACGTTTTGTTCTTCTTCTGCAGTTGGTAGTGTTTAGGGTTTACGATTTAGGGTTAGACAGGCTTCCTGTGCTCCGAGGAAGGAGAAGAAGAGGAAGAAGGAGGGCAGGGATGGCGAGGCCGGGGGAAGCACGCTCCCCCCGTCCCCTAAACCCTAAGCCCTAAGCCCTAAGCCCCAAGCCCTAAACCCTAAACCCTAAACCCTGAATCCTAAACCCTAAACCCTGAACCAAAAAACCTTAAACCCTAAACCCTAAGCCCCTAAACTCTAAACCCTAAACCCTAAACAAGCGTTGAGAGGACAGCCTGCTTGAGCTCCTGAGACTTTGGGGATCTGCTTTGTGTCGAAGTGGGGGCTGAGGTGCCAGGTTTTTGTACAACCTGTTGTTGGGTTTAGGGTTTAGGGTTTAGGGTTCAGGGTTCAGGGTTCAGGGTTCAGGGTTTGGGGTTTAGGGTTTAGGGTTAAGTCTCTGTTGTAAACGTACTTTAATGAGAACCCGAAACAGGGAACTTCAAGAACATAGTAGGAACATAATGGGGGGGTATACCTACCAGGGTCCTTATGTTCCTTTTATATTCCTGCTATATTCTTGGGCTCACTGTTTGGGGTTCCGATTCGGATCTGTTTATTTGGAAGTCGAACAACACGCTGGGGATGCCTATGTAAAACCTATATAAACCCTACATAATCCCCAAAAAACCTTTATAAACCCTATATAAACCTTGCATAAAAACCCTATATACACCCTATATAAACCCCATATAAACCCTACAAACCCCATCAACCCGATAAACCCGACTCAACCCGGACCCAAGCCGCTGTGGGAAGGTTTTGGCCCAGCTCCGCAAGGAACGCGAGCTTCGGGAGGCCACTCGGCTCGAATTGCTGGTTAAGGGTTTAGGGTTAACGGTTTAGGGCTTAGGACTTAGGAGTTTGGAGTTTGGGGGTTGGGGATTGAAGGGTTTGGGGGTTTAGGATTTAGAATGAGACCTATGCCACCAAGTCTCCATGGTGGGAAACTCCTTGCAGCTGGTTTCAGACAGGTTCGGTTCAGGCGCCAATCGCGGGCTTGGCTTTGGGGAAGCGCAGGTAGTTGTCTGAACTTCGGCACGTGTGTGCATGTTGTAGACATCTCGTGTATGTGCATATCTATCTTTGTGTGCCGGCTTAGGGCTACTTCTATGGTTTTCGTCGCGTGATTTATCTTTCCGAAAAAATGCAGAACGAGTTTTCGAAGAATGTAAAAAGAATGGCTTCAAGAAAGCGGGAAAATGGGTTCAAAACAGTTGGCTTGCAAAAACGGAGAAAGTAAGCGAACAAAAAGTGGGTTGCGAAAAGGGGATATCCAAAACCTGTGCCTGCGCAGGAATCCACGCAGGCAGCTGTGGATTGCTTTTGTCAGGTCTTTGTGTTCTTCTGGTCGTGTGAGCGGTGGACCCTTTTGCGCACGCGTTTTTCACCCCAAATTTCGAGTCATTTTTGAACTCATTTTTTTTGCTCTTTTTCTGGTCGCTGGGACATGCTAAACCTCTTTGTTTGGTTTCTATTGCGTTTATTTCGCATTTTCCCTAGGCAAAACGCGAAAAAAAGCAAACCAAAGCGACCAAAAAAACGACCCGACCAGCCC